GGTTTAGGGTTTAGGGTTAAGGGGCGCCCGATTTGAGGGAGGGAAGGGCATGGGGTCGGGGTGCCGGGTTCGGCGTTGAGAAATCCGCGCATCAGATTGGTAAGCTGAACCTTGAGTTCAGGGTGTTGGTTTTTTGGGCTCAGGGCTCAGGGCTCAGGGTCCTGGCAGGCTCGACATGGGGTGCAGCATAAATGGAGGCTCTACCACATCCCACCCAAAAGCCCAAACCCTAAACCCTAAGCAGAGGAGCAGCAGGACCGACAAACGCCGATGCTAGTGCCGACGCCGACTGCCAAAGAAGATGCCAAGTTGACTGCCGGCACCTCTGCACCGGGAAGCACACGACCTGCACTTTACGCCAATCATGCTCACTCCAAGCAGACAGACATGGTACCCTAAGGACGTCGAGTCGTGGAGCACAGATTTATGTACGGGAGGCTCATGAGCATTTTGCGCAACGGCAGCGAGAGCCCACAGAGCTGTCTTCCGGGGGGATGCGAACACTCCTTTCACATGGGCCAGGGATGACGGAGTGACTGTTGGGGTCGCCAAGGAGGGCAAAGGGCAAAATGGAGGTAGTGAGGGAGCTTGAACGGGCATATACTGTGATCACCTATGGCGAGAGCTGGCGTCGGGCGTTCCAATGCATCAAAAAAGAGGGCTTGAAAGTGCGAGGCAAGAGTCGGGGGACATCATCGTTTGTGACGTGTGGACGTTGTATCCCATCGCAAGGAAGTATCAGTAAGGCAAGCAATTATGGGACGACCGCGCAGTGAGACCTTAATTGAGACGTGACTGGACACATGGGAGCGTGGTTTTCGAGCATGACTTCTGAGTCAGGTAAATTCTTTGGCCGGCAGCCACTGCTACCGCAGATGCCTGATGTCACAAGCGGAGGGAAAAAGACCACTTAACAACGAAACTCCAAATCCTAAACCCGACCCCCTAAACCCGAAACACCTTCGCAGGGGGACGGTTGCCTTCCTCTGAAGGCGCTGAGCGAACGACATTCTCGACTTTGCGAGGAGGTGCAAGTGGCCCAGGCCGACTTTGCTGGTGAAGTGGGGGTGGGTTTCGTAACAAATAGTTTACGGTTCCCTTACCGCAATCTCTCAACCCCAATGGGTCCCTATACCAAGGATCCCACCATTCGGGGGCCTCGGGGGTAGGACAGTCTTTTACGGAAACTGTCAAGTTAGGATTGCTGGCCTCTCAGTTGCGAAAGGACGATGTGAGGGGTTTAGGGTTGGTTTTGGGTTTACGGTTTTACGTAGGGTTTTAAAGATAGCCAGGTGAGAAGACCAGAGCCGACATCCTGGAAATCATGAGTCACCCGCGGGTCGGAAAGCAGCTAGGACCAGGGTCCACTTTAGGAAAAGAGATCCAAGTCAATCGCCGCGAGCCGCGACGCCTTGAGCCCTGAATCCTAAATCCCTGAAGCGTACACCCCTGAACCAACACCGTTACACCCGTAAATCATGCATCTACGCGAGCCACGAGAGGCGCGTGCTGCCAGCCTTGAGCGAGATCTTGAGGCAGGGAATACGAAGGGCTCGACTTTTCAGTTGAGGGATTGGGAGTTTCGGGGTTTACGGGGTATCCCTCAAAACCCTGAACCCCTAAACCCTAAAACGCTGGCGTCCAGCGACTTGGAGGTGAGTTTTTGGGAGCTTGTAGTTTGCAACTTGTCGTTGCCCTCTAGATTGTCACACAAGAAGAGTCCGGTCACCAGGCAATCTTATAAGTTATAAGTTCTGTTAAACCTAGATCGTCTCGGGGGCCTTTTTGTGCTGGTTTGTTCTATATTTAACAACAGGAATATGAGGAGAAGGGGAAGTCAAAAAAAAGTCTGAACCTTGCCTTCACCAACTAGAACCTACTTCTGCGACAGGTTTACACTAGGACCCGCTATGATGGTAGGTAAAGGTCAACCACCGAACCGATCGTGGGCTGGTGGAAGGCCTGCGAGCAACGACGTCGCACTCTGACGGCTCGGGAGTTCCATCCTCAGAGAATGCCAAGATGTCAGTAGAACTCAGGGATTTGGGGTTGAGGGTTCGGGGCCATACATCGGGCATGAGGTAGGGATTTAGGATGATGTAGGCTTAGATCATGGCTTTAGACATTGTTTCTGCGGGTCCGAAGAAGAATCAAGTGCCTGTGGTGCAACCTGTCGTTTGCCATCATGTTAGGGAACGTTACATAATACCCGTAAGCCCCCTGTAAGCGATACATCATAAAGACGCTGGTTGAAAAGCCTTGGTAAAAGCCCCATATAACTACTGAGGACGGGAGATCCCAGTACACCGAAGTTCGTGGGGACCTCGGCTTTGGGTTACTTTAAGGGTTTAGGAGCAAAGGCCTCATGCACGTAGGATAGAGTACACATTCTATAGTCTTGGAGATTTTACGCCACGGGGTGTCGGACAAATTCTGGAGGCTTTTGTGGGGACCCGAATCCCTGCAAGGGGCTTTTGTGGGTCCGGTTTTATCTTGTACCACGTCGCTCTGCGTCAAAGCCCCGTGCCCTGATCCCAATACTTCAGCAAAGAAGTACCAGTATAGTACCCTTAACGATTTCCTGGTGCCCTTATAGACCCCTAAGCCCTAAACCCTAGACCCTAGACCCTCATAAAGAACCCCAATCCCCAAACGATTTCCTGGTGCCCTTATAGACCCCTAAGCCCTAAACCTAAACCCTAGACCCTTAAAGCGAGAACCCCGATCCCAAGCTGCGGGGTTTTGGCCCCAGGCGGAGGAAGGCTCGGAGGACAAGCGGCCCGAGGCCGATGAGGTGAGGGGCTGGTGGTGGCATTGGTAGCAGTGGTTGCAGGGGGGAGCTGTGGGACTAGTAGTAGTAGTAGTAGTAGTAGTAGTAGTAGTAGTAGTAGTAGTAGCAGTAGCAGTAGCAGTAGCAGTAGCAGTGGCAGTAGCAGTAGCCATAGTGCAGGCTTGGTTGTATTTGAAGTGATCGTTGCCGCCGTCATCGTTGCAACTCCCCAGTTGCTGCCGTCATTGTGCACGAATGCGCGAAGCGCTAAGTCACTAGTTCGCGCTCCTCGTCCTGCTACCCTTGATGTAGGGTCAGAACCATTTCTGTAGTCAGAGCGTCCCCTTACAGTCTCTATGCATTTATTCCACAAATACTCCCCAAAGGCCTTTTCCAAGTCACAAGGCCCCTATAGATCCACAGAGCTGCTGAAAGGCATCCATGCCGACCTGGGCGACTCGCTGCGCATGGTGGCTCTGACATGTTTGCCCCTTTTCCGACGTCCAAGAGCATCCCCCCCGAAGTAGAAGGGGTGCTCTTGTTAGGATAGTTCTCGCAAAAGCATTCGGTCGTCGCTTGCTGCGACCCATGCTTCTCATACTTGTTTACAGAGCCTGGGCTCAGGATTCTGTCATCGCAAGAGCGATTACTGTTGTCGATCGCAGACGCCCGGGTTTACGCGAAGGGCCCCGGGCATCAGGGATCGACAGGCAGCTAATGAAACCATGAAGGTGTCCTCCAAGAAGATCCGATTCAGAGTGTCGCCTCACTTTGCCTGTACGCACGTGCCCTTGCAATTCCAAGTTGTCTTGTCATGAGACACGTTTCGTAGAGCCCTCGAAGAGATAAACATCAGGGACGTGTCTTGCGTGATGACACTAGCATTTTTCTCCTAATCTTTCGACAGTTCCAGCTGTTCAGCTTCACCGTCCTTGGTGCTGTGCTGGGCCTCTGACCGAAAACCAAGGCAACATCGCCTCAGCTTGGCTCAAGCGACTTTCGATTAAGGTGGTGAAGTGAAGCGACCAGCCATGCAGAAGCGTTTGTTGTTCCTCCTGGCGGCATCGGCTGTGGCTGTGAAAACTGCTGCGCCAGCCTGCCAAGGCTCCAAGTTAGAGAAGGGAACCTTGTGCTCTACCTTGTGTGTCTGTTTGATTATTTGCTGTGGGCTCTATTTTATGATCTTATAGCGTTATAATGCTTTTTCCGAGAGCAAGTAAGGAGTGTGAATCCCACTATGCCACACCGGAGGGCGGCGCACGCTTCATGCAGTGTGGGAAGTCTGGTGGCCAATGCCTGACGACCGGGCCTTTCTGCGAGCCGCCGTCGTGTACGGAAGGGAGCGTGATCTCCAACAACGTAGCTGCCAACGATAACCGCCTGGAGTCTTCACGCAGCGGCGGCTATGTGGTGGACTTGGCAAACGGTGACACCGTTTGGTCTCAGAACACTTATGGCAGTAACCAGCGAGGACTGGGTCAAGCTTTCGATGGCTCCTCCGAGATTGCAGCTCCGGTACACCTTTCAGTCTGGAGACCACGTCATCACCTCCGTGAAGGTATGGAACGTCCCCGGCGCGGGGCACCACGCCGGCAAGGTCGATGTCAAGTACTGGACCGGCAGCGACTGGGAAGATGTCACGAACCAAAGCCCGGAGGGCTTCACCAACAAGATCGACACGGAAGAGATCGAAATCAAGTTCGATGCCGTGACCACCTCCCAATTCCGGCTGGACTTCTGGGCGCATGCGAGCGCCGGCAATCCCACCTGCGTGGGGGCTACGGAGGTTCAGATTATCGGCTGCAAGGGCCCTTGAGACCCGCGGCCGACCTTCGATTTGCCGACCTGCGCTTTGAACAGGGTGACAAAATCCCACTTCGATTTTCCGCTAGAGATGTTCCGCTGGGCAACGCTCAGCTCGAAACCCGGAGTAGCTTACGCAAGAAGAAGACTTGTGCTGTGTGCTTTGAGCCTGGTAACATGTTTCTGGCGCCCCCGCAACCTTCCCTTCAACAGATCTCTCACAAAAACAAACATGTCCCGCTGACTGGATGTACAGCCCTGGAGCCTTCAAACTTACAGCTGACAAGTCCAGGAGTCGCTGTGGTGGTTCTGCATTGACTAGAGGTCTGCCTTTATCTCGGCATGAACTACTGAAGCTGCTAGCTAGCAGCTCGTGCTAGTAACTAGTAGAAGTCATCGCAGGACAGGTGTACTCTAAGAACGGTTTGGGTAAGGTCAGTACCTGTAGCACGAAGGGACTCGCAGCAGCAAGACCAGTGCCATAGGGCTTTGGGCAACTACAGTAGGAATAAAATCCGCCAAAAAACCCATATTCTTCAAAGGGTATATGTTACCCCGGACCCTCTCCGATGATGATCGCTGACGCTGCAGCTTGAGCAGCCTCTGGTGCCATGGAACCTCAGCTGGACGAAGAGCTGGCGTGGGATACCGGATGGACCTGCCCCTCCTGCGCCCGGGTTCTTGCTAAGGGCCATAATTTGGGGTTTAGGGTTTAGGGTTTAGGATTTAGGGTTTAGGGTTTAGGGTTTAGGACTCGCCCTAGCATGAACAACATACAGCATATTTAGGGATAGTCCATACACCTGCAGTCTCACTACACCTATGCATGTAGACGCCCCATTGTGGCAACTGAAGACAAGTTCCCTTAACAAGAGCCCAGGCACTTTGGTGAACGAGATGGAGTCTAGTAGGTGCGTGGCTTGTGGCAGCCTCCGCAGCTCGCTACCTACTTTTGGCGTGGTGGTGGTGGTTCCACCAGAAAGGAGAGGGTTTCGGCTTTAGGGCAGTTTAGGATTCAGGGTTCTAGGGGTTTAGGGTTAGGCGGTTAAGCCAAAAACATTGGAGAAGACAAAGGGCTAGCTTAAGCCTGCTCTCCTTACGGATTCCTACATTCAAGGGCCCCCGCATGTAGCCCCATTTTCGGCCTAGAGGCGCCTTCGTAACTTGTCCCCAAGGTGGGAACCCAAGCTTTAGGTGCTCGTTTTCGTCGGCTCACCCATGCAAAGCTGAAATGCTACAGCCCTCAGTCACAGACCGAAAGTGTAACATCCGTGAGCCCAAACATCTTAAACCTGAAATTCCCGAGCCCCAGAAGCTTTTCTCCTCAAATCCTAGAGCCATGAGACCTTTGAGGTTTAGGGTTTAGATTACACCCTAGACTCTAGAGTCTTAAAGACAAAGCCCGTTGCAGGAAGCAGAAGAGAGAGGTGGACTCGCAGTGGGCTTGTCCGGCCTGCACGTTGCTGAACGACGAGGCACCGAGCCCAAAAAGCCTCAAGCCGTAGTAAAAACTGCGGCTTAAGGTTGAAAAGAGAGTTAGAGTTAGGGGGTGGTAGGCTTTCGGGAACCCGACCTCCACACCCCTAAACCCTAAACC